ACATAAAGTGGTAGATAATGATGGCAAGGATGTATGGTATTCAGGGCTTGTGGTTAGTGTTCTAGACGACAATGAATTTGATGAAGAGTGTGAGTTTCAGATACTATATGATGGATATGAAGATAAGTATGATATTGAGTTGGTCAAAGAGTGGAGGATGAAATGTGTTGTGGTAGAGGGAAAAGCTGATGGTTATGTGGAGGGTGAAGTTTGTAAAAAACAAAAATGCAGTTAATATCATTTTTGACACAATGGGGATTTAATTTATTGTATTTATGTTTGTTATTATTCTTATTATTGATAATATTATTGTTATTATTATTTTTATTGTCATTTAATTTAATGTGTTCTTGTTTGTGTTCTGTTTGGTCATCTGGAGCGGTGTTGGCGCACCGACAATTCTTTATATGTATATTTGTTTTCTATTGGACATCTGCCGTCATGGTGACATACCCGTAAGTCATGCTTTCTATTTTTGTGCTGACATACCTGTCAATATATGTATCCTTGTGTTTACATTTTTTTGTGTTTGCATGTATGTTTTTGTAGGTGTGTCTGCAATTATTTGCATGTTTGTTTTTACTCACTTGTTAGTCACTATATGCATGTTTGTGTTTATGTATCTGTTAGTCATTATGTGTATGTTTGTGTTCTGTTGGACCTCTGAAGTGGTGATGACGCACATGTAAATCACTATATGTATGTTTGTGTTTATGTACCTGTTACTCATTATGTGTATGTTTGTGTTCTGTTGGACCTCTGGAGCGGTGTTGGCGCACCCGTAAGTCACTATATGTATGTTTGTGTATATGTATCTGTAAGTCATTATGTGTATGTTTGTGTTCTGTCAGACCTCTGGAGCGGTGTTGACACACTCGTAAGTCATTATATGTATGTTTGTGTTTATGTAGTCATTATGTGTATCTTTGTGTTTATCTACCTGTAAGTCATTATATGTATCTTACTCTTTCGTTGGAACTGTGGAATGACTATAATTTCATTTGATAATGCAGGTTAGTCATTTTGATCAAGTTTATGTTTTTTTTATTTATGTTTGTGTCTGTTGGTCTTGTGGCACAGCGTTGAAACAACAGTAAGTCATTGTATGTATATTTGTGAGTTGTTCCAACTAGGCTGCAAGCAATCATTGTAGGAGTTGGAAGTTTCTGGAAAAGAAAAGATGAAGTTTGTAGAGTAAGATAATAATTGACAGATGACTTAAAAGATTGCAAATTATATGAAACAGGGAAGCAAGATAAAGGAAGCGAATTCCAAAGAACTGATGTTCGAGGAAAAAAATAGAAGAATAAGAGTTTTTGGAGCACTTAAAAACAGTCACAAGAGAATGAATTTTAGTAGATAAACAAGGGACTCTAGCTATTTAGAGCAGTGCCCATATTTGTAGAAAAGAGAAAGAGAAGCACCATTAAACAATATTGGATAATCCCAACAGATTAAATAAAAACTGGATCACTAATTAAAATTTCAAGTCAAATGTAATAACGGTTCAAAAATATCAAAATTTTTAAAAAAATTACAAATTATTTAAAGTTGATATGTTTAATTTGTTTGAACAGCCCATTTTCAGCAATTTACTGACCGAAAAGTAATTTATATGATTATTTCACTGACCGGTCTGTAAATTACGCAATAGTTTTCATATGTTTTATTTTTTGGATTCCATGATTATATTCTCCAAAACTAAGAAAATAATGTAAAACTCTTCAGCTGTAAAATAGATGATTCTGGACAATCGCAACAGATTTTTAAAATAAAATTTTGTTTTTTATTTTCTTATAGTTTTTTGATCACAATGAAAAATTTCAAGTCAAAAGTAATAACTATTCAAAAGTTATTCAAAAGTCAGTATGACCCCAAAAATATAGTAATTAGTAAAAACTCTCAGTCTGTAAAATAGGTGATCCTGGTAGATCCTGACAGATTTAAAAAAAAAAAAAGTTTTGGTTTTTTATTTTCTTATAGTTGTTGGATTGCTATAGAATATTTCAATTCAAATGTAATAACGATTCAAAAGTTATTAAAAAGTCAGTATGACCCTAAAAATGTATAAATTAGTAAAAATTCTGGTCTGTAAAATAGATAAATTCTGGTCAATCCTGACAGATTTCTAAAAAAAAAAATTTGGAATTTTATTTTCTTATAGTTAATTGGTCACTATGGAATATTTCTAGTCAAATGTATCATCGGTTCAAAAGTTATTCAAATGTCAATAATACTTTCATTTTCAGTGCCATTTCGCAGTAAATTTTCCATACTTATACCTATACCTTTTGTAAAAAAATTACCCGTTTTTTCACTACAAAAAGGTCAATAACTTTTGATCCGCTTAACTTCAAAGGCCAAATGACCCCTCATTTTTTAAGTCAAACCAAGCTCTATACAATGACATCAATTATATTTGAATATTTTAATTATAAAAAAATCGTCTGGAATGGCTAGCTAATATTATTGTTTGAAATTTTAATTATCTTTATACAAATACTCATCATATTTTTAAAATGACTGATAAAAATGGATTTAATTAAAATCACTTCATTTGTATTAAAAAATTAATATTAAAGCCTTAATCATACATTATACAAGAGTATTCTGTAATACAATCTAAATAGTTGTTGCGATATGTAATTTTTTTATCCAAAATTTAGCTTCTGTAAGCTTTAGAAATTTTTTAAAGAAATTATTGATGAATTTGGAGCTACGGGTACTAATGTTTTTATATTGTTGTAATGTTTGTATTCATTCCCTGTTAGTTTCTGTAAATCAAAATTTTAAGGTGTTTCCATAATAAATTCTGTTATATCTGAAATTTAGTGTTAGTCTGAATAATTTAATTTCTAAAATCTGTTTTGCATTGCCTGTCTTATAACATCTTTACTTGGAACAAAAACCATCTGGTTTAAAAGTGAGCTAGAAGCTTTCAACAATGAAGAAAATATTGCATTCACTAATCCTAAAAATATATTAAACCTGTCAGAAAAATCAGCTGTCAATAATCCAAGTATTAGCATCATTAAAAATTCATCTTTGCTGCATTACATTTATTTTGGTCCAAGTAGTTAAGGATTTTTTTAAATTTCAAAAAACAGAAGTATATGTTTTTTTAATATCACTTTATCTCTTTTAATTAATGGTGATACTACACTAACTGATGAAACACATTGACAGATGTAAGGCCAGTATAAAAGTCGCAAGATCTTTTATTTTTAAAATAAATGTTTGTATACAAGTAAATTGCAATAACGCGATTTGTTTGGATTATGTTTATATACAAGTTTGTCTGTTTTCATAGTAATAACTGATGTGGTTGAAGTTAATTTTTCAAATAAATCTTTATTTTTTTTATTTCGTGCTGAAGTTCTTTTTTAAAGTTATCAATTTCCTTTTTTAATTTTTGATGCTCTATTAAAAAACAACGCTTAGCATTAAATTCAACATAATTTAATGGATCATTTTTTGAAAAAGTTGTATTATATTTACATTTAATAATATCAGTCTTTGAGCATTGTAGCCCAAGTTAAACGAAAAATATCGATTTTTAAACGATAATGTTCTTTCAGGAAAATCATCTGAACATGTTTTTGATCTCTTGAAAATTCTATATGATATAAGTTCAGTATTTACATTTTTTTTTTCCACTATAACTTTAACCGTTGAAATAATGTTTACGATTTTACTTCCATTTCTGCGCGCGCATAAATTTTATATCGTATTTTTTGTCAACAATGATTGAAATAATGACGTTGAAATAACGTTAAATAATCAACGTTTAAACTGTAACGTTGATTTAACGTTGAAATAACGTTAAATAATCAACGTTTAAACGGTAACGTTAATTTAACGTTGTGACATAGTTGAACAACGTTGAAACAACGCTTCAACCGAATTTTAACGTTGAAACAACGTAATAATGCCGGCTGGGAATGATTGAAATAATCAACGTTTAAACTGTAACGTTGATTTAACGTTGAAATAACGTTAAATAATCAACGTTTAAACGGTAACGTTGATTTAACGTTGTGATATAGTTGAACAAGGTTGAAACAACGCTTCAACCGAATTTCAACGTTGAAACAACGTAATAATGCCGGCTGGGCCTGGTATTATGAAGATGAATTGCAATACAATATTTATTGTATTACAGTATTACAATAGACAATTATTGTTATTGTTTCTAAAAAAGGTAATACAAAAACAGTAGTTATTGTTTCTGTTACTGTTTTCATTACAATTACAACCGTCCGAACTCTGGATTTATGCGTTAATACATAGTCATAAAAAGAATTCTTATGACTATGATTAAAGCGATTAAAAATAGTATTATATTTACATTCAAAATGTGGTAAAAATATTTTTTGCTACTATGTATATGGTTCAAGTAACATTTTATACCATTTTTTTTAGTAAAAATGCGGGGACTCGTAGAAAACCGTATGATATTGTTGTCGAAAACTAATAAAATGATCGTGATTAAATTTTTCGTATATAAAAGTGGTAAAACAACGTATAAAATCCAAATATAAACAAACTTGCTATTGCCTAAGTTCTGAACACATGTGTTCAGAAGTTATGTACATTACCAAATAACTTCTGAACACATGTGCTTAGAAGTTACATTATACATTACCAAATAAAATAAAAATCTTCAACCAAGTAAATAAAACTATATTTACTAATTTGTTTTTGCAAAACTTTACTTCGATTATGTTCATCTATTGATGATATTTAAAAATGTTATTTAAAAAAAAAAGATATTTAAAAATGTTATTTTAAAATATAAAAATATATATATAATATATATTAAAAAAGATAACAAATTTACATAAAAAAAGGAATACAATAGAGGAGGAGCAAAAACTGTTTGTTTTTATTTGTCTAAGAATTATCTCTAGCCACTCTCACCCTAGGGTAAAAAAAGTAACTTTTCTATTGTACAGTTACGCAACTTTAGCGAAAGATGTTTAGGCGTCATAATTGAGCTCGCATTTGACGTACGTTTTTCTTTACACGGCCTTTTATTAAACACAACTATTTACTTTTGTCAGCTTTGAATTCATTATATAAGTTAAACATTGCAAAAGTAAATGCGTCTTATGCAAAGTTGCGAGTAAAGATATTTGAATATTATTTACTCCAGCAGACTAGTTTTTATTACTAACATTTTTACATGGAAATTTCAAAGCAAGCTTTTATTTAACATATTGCAAAGGTATGGTTATTTCAATGTCTTTAATTAAATGACCTTTGTTTAGCTTTGATTTTAAACTTATATTAACTGTAAAAAAAAAGTTTACATTTTGATGAATAAAAATTTTGTTCAAACATAAAAATCATACTATTTTAAACTTTAAATTATATTTAAACATATTAAAACTTATGTTGCTGTGCAACTTTTGCATGACAATTCTACGTATTAACAAATTATTATTTTTCATAGAATGATTGAAAAGATTTCAACACCGATTCTAATAGCAATACTCTTGTATCATAGTTACCATTACTATAGTGATTGGAAATTAAATCAAACAATAGCGTCATTTGAAGCAAAGTTAGCAGCACAAAATGACGCAAAGCTAACGGCAAAACCAAAACTTGAACCACCAAAAATTATGAAGGTCACAGAGAACATATATATGGCTATTAATTTTGCAATTGCAAATAGCATTATGCTAATTGGTGAAACCGGTATCGTTATAGTTGACACAACTGAGTCAACATATGCTGCAAAAGAAATCAATAAACGTTTTCGAGAAATCACCGACAAACCTGTAAAAGGTGTTATATATACTCACAACCATATTGATCACGTGGTTGGTACAAGAGAGTTTTTAAACAATACACAAGTAGACATTTGGGCTCATCATTCTTTACCTTCCATTATGCATCAAAGTACTTTAATTGTAGGCAGAGCTCATAAAGTAAGAGCTTTGCATCAATTTGGAGGAAAACTAGAAGATAATCAAATTCATACCGTAGGTATTGGACAGCGTGTACAAACCGACTCCTTAAATGACGTAGTTAACTACGTTAGGCCTAACAAATTTTTGTTCAAAAAAGAACAAGAAATCGAACTAGCTGGAATGAAATTAAAGTTAATACATATTCCTGGTGAGACAGACGACCAAATTGCTGTTTATTGGCCTGAAGAAAATGCCTTGATGTGCGCGGATAACTTTTACAAAGCATTTCCAAATCTTTATGCAATTCGTGGAACACCTTTTCGAAGTTTGAAATTGTGGTATGATTCAATTGATACAATGAGAAATTTAAATGCGGAATATCTTGTACCAAGTCATACCGATCCAATAATTGGGAAGCAGAATGTTTTTAAACACCTCACTGACTATAGAGATGCCATTCAGCTGGTTCATGATCAAACGGTTCGGTTCATCAACCAAGGATATCACCCAGATAAAATTGCACATATGATAACTATTCCAAAGTTTATTAGGCAATCAGATTACCTTTACGAAAGATACGGAACCGTTCGTTGGTCTTCAAAGAGCTTATTTAGTGGTTATATGGGGTGGTTTAGTGGAGATATATCTGAATTAGAGCCTCACACTCCAACTGAAAAAGCTGAACGATTAATAAAACTAGGAGGGGGTAGCAACAATTTGCTAACATATTCTGAAGATGCTCTGAATAAAAATGACCCCCAATGGTGTTTAGAACTCACCTCTGCGGTTTTAAGGGTTGACAAGCAAAATCAGAAGGCAAAAGAGTTAAAAGTAAAGTCCTTGTTAGAAATGGCTTCAAAACAAACGAGTCAAAATGGAAGAAACTATTACATAACTGCTGCTAGTGTTATTTTAGGTAAAGTTTCCTTTAATATGGATGCAGAAGAAAAATCAAGTATAATTCGAAATTTAAAATTGAAGGATTTATTCATAGCCATGTCCACCAAAGTTAAAAGTGAAGAATGTTCAGAAATTGATAAAGTTGTTTTATTTATATTTCCGGACGTTAGCGAAAGAATTAAGTTTCACTTAAGAAATGGGATCATGGACATGAGTGGAGTGCACTTAAGAAAAGAAGATGTTACTGTTACCGTTGATTTATCTACTTGGCGTGAAATTATGACTGGTGATCGCAATGGATTGCTTTCAGTTATCACAAACAGCATTGTAGTTCAACCGTCTGCATTTGATCTTAAGGAACTAATGGCTTGCTTCGATAGCAATGATAATTATATTTTGTAAAACATTGAGAACAAATAACATAAAAACCTTAACATAAAACATAAAACCCTTTTAAAAATTTTTCTTTTTTTTAATTAGTCTTTATAATACATTTAAGTAGATTAATTAAGACTTACCACTAGCGTAGGAAGGTTTTTAAATGTTTGAAATAACCAGCTTTTAAACAAAGAGAATGTTCCAAGTTTTTTTATGTTCATATGTATGACGAAAAGATTCTTCACAAAAAAAAATTACAGTGATAGGAGAATGGGAACAAGAAACCCTAAAATCTTAGCCAAACCCCCCACCCCCCACCCTAAATGTGAGGGCAAATAAGTTGAATTATTTATTTTTACTCAAATATAAACTAGTTATGCATTCATTGACAGATTTAAAATTGTTAAGTTTTCAGTTTTTATGACCATGTAAAGAATAACCCCCCTCTCCTCAATTTGAGAGGTCACTAGCTTTATATGGTCATTAAAACTGAACACTTAATAATAGGGTCCGGAACAACACTTGATTTGTAAGACTTGTTAAATAATATTGATAAAGGCTTGCAAAGTGAGAACTTTCGGTCATTTTGAGAACTTTCAGTCAAATCTGGTCTACTCCTACAGTTTTTTGTTAATCTAGTTTGCCGTTATAAAAGCTAATGATTGCTTCTGTAAAGCTTGGGTTCATTCAAAATTAAATTTATCACTAAGTTTTGGGATGTTTGTCAAATTTTTCTTCGTAAAAATTGAAACGAAATATTTGTTCAATGTATTCGCTATTATAGTACCGTCTGTAGTGGTTTGTTTAATTGCTCCTTGAGTGCCATCACTCCAATATAATGCTTTTATTGATTCCTTTGTAGAATTTTTGCTGTTAATATATGCATATACCGATTTAGGATTTAGTTTAAAATTCAGTGCTAACTTTCTTTTAAAATCCCGGATACTTTTTTTTACCTTATTTTTAATTTCCAAATTCAAATGGTTGTATGCTGTGACCAATACATAATTACTAAGTTTTGTATTGCGGCACATAGACCATAAGTTGCACTTTCTTTTACTCATGTGTTATAGTTTAATGTTCATCCAAAGAGGATCTTTTCTTTTCTTTTTGCTACTCGTTTTCAACCTAGGAATAAACATATTGTATTCATAATTATAAATTGATAACCAAATGTTGTAAGAATCATTTGCGTTTAAATTCAGAAATTTATCAGACCAATAAACTTTATTAATCATTAAATCATTAAATACTTTGTAATCTCCTTTGTTATTAAGTAGTTTACTCATTGCGAATCTTTTTTTTTTTTCTTTTTTTTTTTCCGCATTTTACTTTAAATACAGTTTTTATTAACGATCGACTGAAATTTCTTTTTCGGTATCGGTTTCAGCTGAAAGTTCAAATAAACCGAAACCGAAATTTCGGTTTCGGTACTTTTTATAAATTCGGAAAAGGGAAAAATTTCGGATGAAAAACATACCGAAAACCGAAAAGTTCGTAAGATTTTAAATTTTTATCTAATTTGGAAAAATTGTTATTTTTGAGAAGTTTCACAATTTACTTTGAGAATTTCAACAAAAGTTTTGACAATTTTCACAAAATACCTCAAAAAAATCTTGTTTTGCAGAGAAAATCTGGCAGTTGCAAACTTTCTCTATATGCTTATATCGCCAATGCAGTTTGAAAATTTTGAAAGTAGTACTAATGAAATACCCCAAAAAAGATGTTTTGGGAGATAATTCTAGGCACATGTAACGATCTATAGCCCGTGAGACTTTTTTCCACTTTTTATTTTATTTTTGCCAATGATAAGTTAGGTTTTTCAACAAATTTAAGTTGAAAATTTGGCCCCACAAAAAAAATATAAAATTATAAAATAACAAATGCATAGTAGCTCTTTGCAACAAAATCAAAATGCCAAGTTCAGCAAAAACACATCAGACTGCAGAAGCAGTGTATCATTTGCATGAAAAAAGCTGACAGAGAACTTACAGAAAGCCTCAAAACAAGTGTTAAACAAGTTATACTAAAGAATGTTAACATCAAAGATGACAGAGTTCCTTTTGCAGTCTATGACAACTGTAGAATTCAACTTAGAAAAATTGAAAGAGGACAAATAAAGACTGTTCCTCAGCTTTTCTATTTTGAATCAATTTTGATAATGCCACCAACAAGACTGCAACATATGACTGCTTAATCTGTCAAAAGCCTATGAAAAACATCCTTTGAGCAACCTCGAGAGTATGGCAGGTAAAACTGATAAAGCAGTTGAGAAGTTTTGCGTAAGATGTTTGTCATTATTGGTAAGGCACTTCCACATCAGTACATTCCTGGAACTTGCCATAAAAATTTGAGGATGATGACTAAACCTGATCCTATTGGAGCAGAGCAAGTGGCATCAACAGTTGTGGAAGGCAAGGATTTTTCTCCAAATGGTACCATTCGACGTAGTCAGCCAAAAGGAAAACGTTTATGATTAGGAAGAGGTAAATTTTTAACTACCCATGTAAAAGGTTTTGTCTAATATTATGGTATTGCTTAAAAATTGATATTTTAAACAGGATCTTCAGCTCTACAACAAATGTTTAAGCAACCCCTGACAACCAATATAAGAACATTGTATAGAAAAATACAACATGAAAATTCGAATAAAATAAAATAAATAAAAAAAGAGTTTCACAGACGGTTTTAAAAAAACTTAAAAACAACTTGCTATGGGTCTTTCCATGTGTCTAGAATCACCTCTTAAAATATCTTTTTCGGGGTATTTCATTAGTATTACTTTCAGAATTTTCAAACTGTGCCAACATATGTGTATATAAATCTTAATTAGTGAAACACGTGTAATCAATTCTAACATAATACACGTATAAAAAAACAATGAATGTAAAATTGCATTTTTAAATAAAATTTTTTAATGAAATAAATTTTGACAAGCCGAAATGTCGGTATCAGTTTCGGTAAAATATTTGTCGAAATGTCGGCTACGGTTTCGGCACCGAACTTGAGTACTCAAAATTTTGGTTTGTTTCGGTTTCGGCCTTTTTTCTGTTTCGTTCGATCACTAGTTTTTATATACATATACAATATAATAAATACCTGGAGTAAGAAGACATAATGTCTTATCGCGGAACCCTATTTTTATAAAATTGTGATTTACAAATATCTTATTACTAAAAAATATATAAACTAGAAGATAATATACAGTATTGTTTTATAAAAGTTTTAATACATAAAGTAGAACTGCTAAATTGCTTAAATTTTCTACAGTAGCAAAAAAAAAAGAAAATATATATATTTTACACAAATACACATACCATTCTGAGAGAGAGGTTATATCATTAAAAGACTTTGTTATATGGATCTTGATAATAATTTTTTTTTTTTTAAGTGGCAGTATCTTTTTATTAGCTTATGCCTAAAAATATTTTCCATAGACATGACCAACGAAATTTAATTGAATATGAGCTCAATTTTAATCTATATACAGGATTTCGAGAATCTTGTATTGTATTTATGACATATTACTAAAATAGGATTCGAACATTTTTGGCAACATTCCTAGCTTAGTTCTATACATAAAGATTAAAATTTGATGTAAATTGCTTTTATAAATATTTAATGCCCTAAGTAAACACAGGAGAGTTTCGCAAGGTTTCTTCTCCAAATGCAATTCGTAAAGTTATTACGGAGCATCAACATAAACATTTAACTAGGCAGTTCACGTCTCCTTTTTTACAAATGCCGCTTATTGGGCTAGAGCCGATTTCGAACCTCTTGGTTCTGAGTCAGAACTGTAACCACTGCGTCACGCTGCATTAGATTGTTTGCTATCTTACAATTAGATTACTTCTTACAATTAGATTTCAATAATCATTAAAGTATTTAAATAAAATATTACTCATATTTGAGAGAAACCAAAACATTTTTTGTCTGCCAACTTTTGATATTTTTCGGTGACAGAATTTATTTTTTACGAGTTCTTGAGTTGAGTTCTTGATGCGTTTATTGGTTAAATAATTTAATAAACTTTTGTTATATAGTTACACAGGACTTATTGCATATATAGTATATTTTTCAAAAAAATTTTCAAAAAATTTTTAAACAAAATAGTAAATTATATTAGTTACAATATTTTACATAATTTTTTTTTCAATATTTTAGATTGTTACGTAGGTTCGCGTATAATCAAATAAAAGTATTCCAAAACGACGCAGCCGTTACCTGCTTTTAAACAAAGTTGCAGAAAAACTATTTTTTTAACTTGTTTTTTCCAAAAAAATTAATTGGATATTTGGAGAGCAGTAAATCAGCCACACTCTGCGCAAATTAAAACCGTTTTTTAAACTCGTGTTATTAATAATTGACAACTCTTTTACGCAGTAAAGTTGTTCACGAAATTACTTTGATTTAAGAGGAAAAGAAAAAGAATAAATTAAGAAAAATAAAATTCAAAATATTTTCTTAACCATAAACTATTTTCTATCATCTAAAACCATATCTGCATGGATTAGTCACAACGGGTAAAAGTTAAATTCATAATTCTTTGTTATTAATTTTTTTAATTGCTGACATTTTTTAAATAAAATTCTGAACAATATTATTGTTTTTCAGCTTTTGATTTCGCTTCATTTAAATCAGCTTGCGTAACTGTATGAAATATATCATCTAAACTTTCTTCAACGTATTCTGCTCGTTCATTTAATCTATCGTTATACATAGTTTTAGATTGCTGACGTTGCAAGTATCGGAAAGCAGCAGCTTTTCGAATATTACGGCGATGCTAAATTATAATTAAAAAAAAAAAAAATCAAACTAATCTAGCCGTTATTTAAAATTAAAATTTTTCAAAACTTTTTCTGTAAAATATTTAAGATTTGTGACGTTTTAAAATACCAATAAAAATCAAAAGTTAAACATATCAAAATCAATGAGACAACTTTTTTACTTCAAATCTGAATGTTAAAAGTAAGGACTTCATAAAAACTTTATATTATTTTAAATATTATATTAGGGTATATAACTTAAGTAAATAATATTATATTTGGTAATAAATTATTTATTATATTAGGTAATAAGTATTATATTAGGGTATTTAAATATTATTATAGGATAATTTCGGCAGGGAGATAATTTCGGAACCCTTCAAAAGATACCTAAATATATTTATTTATTGGGATATTGAGCCCATGTTTGGTATTGAGCAAGATAAACGATTTTCTTTACAATGTTGGTTTAAATTTTTTGTTTACATTATAGGTACGTTAATTTATGATATTAGCTTTTTGTTAACATTTTTACCTTTTGGAAAATGTAGGATAAATTATTTTTTATCGTTAATTTTTATCAAAAATTATTCATTTTATTTAAAAATATGAACTGAATAAAATGCGAGCAACAATAATATGAAACTTAAAGTTACAAAATTTAAAAGTTTCCTCAAGGGCTGCTCTAAGGATATAATTTTGGCTGATAAATAGTATTTAATTTCGGCAGTGCCGAGTTCGCCGACCTGTGCTTTCTCCGAAACTAAAATGGAAATAAGCATTTGAGATATTATGCATAAAGGAAGTTGATATTTGTAAATAATTTATTTGCATTCAGATGGTAATACAATAATAACGAGATAGTAAAAAAGTGAATTCGTTAGTACTCTGTGAAACTTAATAAAATAGTATTTTCCCATAATATAATTATTTTTATTTTAAATTATATTAGCTTTATGTATCAAATATATATATATATATATATATATATATATATATATATATATATATATATATATATATATATATATAACCATGGTTATCAATGTAATTTATAAAGAACAGAGCTATAATTTAGTAGAAATCGCTTATCGATGTTTTACATTGTGTTTTGTCAATAAAGACTTATTAGAAAGCAAAAGACGTGTTTAAATAACTCTGGTGCTAAAGATGCGATTGATAAACAATCTTGTGCTATGTGTCAATACAGATATAGTGATCATGTCGATCCTTTTTTAAGGGACAATTGGGATAAATGCCATAACTGCTGAAGTGGTGGCATGAAATATGTGGTGTTTATGTTAAAAAAGCATTTACTTGTGACGTCTGCATGAAACGTTGATGCTTTAAAAAAATTATATTTTACAATCTTTGGAATTTTTTTAACTTCTTATTTGAGTGATATGTTCCTACTTTACTAAATTAGGTGGTTTAAAAAATTATTAATCAAGGTGTTTGCAACGCCCTAACTATTCCAATTAGGTGTAATAAATACCATTTAAAAAACAATAACTTTATAAGATTCAGATTTATAGTTTTGTCTAATTTCTGGTGAAAGATAATTTGTGTTTGTGTTTACAAGTTCGAGTAAAATAAAATTTAATTAAAATATTAATTGCAAACATGGTAAATGTTCAATCAACTGAGTTTAATGTATATAAAGCAGATCAAGATAAATTAATAAAATCACTAATCAAAACAATCGACGAGTTAAAAAATTGTAATTTACTTTTAACCGAGAGACTAAATGTTCTAGAGAAAGCTAAAGTTGTACCCTCCACGTCTATATCTTGGGCTAGTGTTGTTAGTGGAAATATGCCACCGAAAAGGTCAACCGAACAACTTCATTTAATGAACGCTGTTGTTGCCGAGGCAAAAGAAAGAAAAAAACGGGAAAGTAACGTTGTAGTGTTTGGTATCGAAGTCTCAAAAAAAGCAGATTTATTAAGTGCTAGAGAAGAAGAAAAAAATTCTATTCTCCACATGATGAACTCTATTAATGCAAAGATCGAAATTAAACAAATAATAAAATTAAAATCAAAATCCGACAAAGAATCACCCTTTGTTATTGTTCTTAACAACCGAAATGATAGAAATTCCTTTCTAAAAGCTGCAAAAAGTTTAAAAAATTCAACCGAGTTTAATAAAGTGTTTATCAATCCCGATTTAACTGTAACAGAGCGATACAAAGCTAAGTTATTACGCGAGGAGTGCAAACAAAAAAATTTAGAAAATTCAGAACCCTCACTTTTTTATTATGGCATACGAAATGAAAAAGTCATAAAAATTAGCAAATAGCAATCATTTTATAATTGCAAAAACCAAAAATATTTCAGTCACGGCTCATTAACTTCTTTAGTTATTCCAAAGTCATTACAAAAAAATCATGCCTCAAGCATTAGTAAACAACGTATTACTGCTGTAAACAACAAAAGCATTAAAAAGGTTATCTGTTCAAAACGTAGCAACTTTATAAACTCATACAATCACTTAACCACAAATTCGTTCAACAATTTTACAGTTTATCTTTTTAACGCAAGAAGTCTTGCCAACAAACTTAACGATTTTTTTTTATACGTCGAGTCAAACAAACCTGCCTTAATTTGTGTTTGCGAAACGTTTTTCAATGATAAACTCCCGAATTCCATGGTCTGTCCAAAAAATTATTCCATTTATCGTAAAGACCGGGTACGAATTGGCGGTGGTGTAGCTCTATATACTGCAGAAATGACGTTAAATCCGCCATAGTAAGTATTACTCAAACTGACAAAGATATTGACATCATTTGTGTTGATTTAATTTTTGGGTCTAGTAAACTCCGCTTAATTACTTGTTACCGTCCACCGTCCTATTCTCTTGATGATTATATTTATCTTGAATCAATGATCTCGATAATAAGCAATCTCTGTGAATCTGTTCCTCAATTTGTCATTGTCGGAGATTTCAACTTACCGAAAATTGATTGGGTTAACTATGTTTCGCCAATTGAGAAATGTCATAATCTTTTTTTAACTTTGGTAAATAATCTTGGTATGTACCAATATGTACTGGAGCCCACTCGAGAAAATAATATTCTTGATCTTGTTCTCTCAAATATCATTTCCCTATTAAATAATATTTCCGTTGAGTGTCCATTTAGTACAAGCGACCATAACTCAGTCTTTTTTTATATAAACACCTTTAATTATTATCAGCCCGAAACAAAAATTATAAAATGCCTTAAGCAAGACGTGATTACATGTTACAAAATTCTGAACAACTTAGTTTGCCTAAATAAATCAAGTTTCTTTTTATTTAACAACTATATTTACACTCGAGGACATAATTTTAAATTACGCAAACTAAAATGTAATCTGAATCTTTTTACGACTTCAAAAATAAAGATATAATTGCTTTTAATTCTTATTTATCAAAAATAAGTTGGGACTTCGATTTTTCTTTTGTTTTTACAACTGAAGAGTATTGGAACATCTTTTCTAATCATCTTCGTAAAGGTATTGATCGTTTTGTTCCAATCAGAACAATATACCATAACAAAAAAAGTCGTTCTTATCCAAAATATATTTATAAAATGCTAATTCGCAAATCTTTTCTATGGAAAAGATGGTCAATCACAAAGACCACCTTGCACAAAAAGGCATTTATTCAATATGCATCAAAATGTAAAAAAGCCATATCCACACACCACAAAAATGTGGAACTAAAACTGGTCAAAGAAAATAACTTAAGTAAGTTTTTTAGTTATGTAAATAAAAATCTAAACAACCCCAAAAAAATATATCCTCTAAAAACATATAGCAACTTTACTACTACCAGTGTTGAGATCGCGGAAGTGTTTAACAAACACTTTGGAAGTGTTTTTACCATAGATGACGGAATTTTGCCTAAAATAAATACCTTTGTTAGTGAACATATTAAGATGAATTTCGTAGATTTTTCAGCAAAGATAGTTTATCAAAAACTTAAAAATCTAAAACCTAGCACATCATTTGGACCAGACGGTATACCAAATATACTTTTAAAACAGTTAGCACATATAATATGTATTCCGCTTTCATATATATTTGAATCAAGTTTTATGTCAAGCTCGTTACCAAAACAGTGGCTTCAAGCTACGGTTTCCTCTATTTTTAAAAAAGGATCTACTTCAGATGCTAACAATTATAGACCTATCTCTCTCACATGTACTAGCTGTCGTGTCATGGAAAGTATTGTTAGTTCAAGTATCGCTGATTATCTTAATATAAATAATCTAATAACACCTAATCAACACGGCTTTTTATCCAAAAGATCTACGTGCACAAATCTTCTAGAGTCAACTAATGACTGGAATAAAGCTTTAGACAGCAATTTAATTACTGACGTGGTATACATTGACTTTCAAAAAGCATTTGACTCTGTACCTCATCCAAAACTTCTGAAGAAACTTGCAATGTACGGCATAATAGATAATCTGCTTCATTGGATATCAGCATTTCTTTCTAACAGATATCAAAGAGTTCTGGTTGGAAATTTACTATCTAATCCAACCTGCATCCTAAGTGGAGTTCCACAGGGTAGCGTCTTGGGTCCAACGTTGTTCTTGTTATTTATTAATGATCTACCCTCTATAGTAAAAGATCTTAATTGCTCTCTAATGTTATATGCTGACGATATCAAGTTATATAGTTCATTTAAGGATGCCAATTACAGTCACGATCTTGCTGTAGCCATTTATAAAGTTTATCTCTGGTCAATTAAATGGCAATTAAAAATAGCCAATAATAAGTGCTTTACTCATAGAATAGCACCTACTTCATTTTGTAAAAATAAATTACAACTATCAATTAGGCGATCATAATTTAACTTGGTCTACAAACCCAAAAGATCTTGGTGTGACCATGGATTCTTATTTGAATTACAGTAATCATATTTCAAATATCGTCCGTGCATCAAACATTCGAGGATATCTAATCCTTAAATGTTTTAAAAGTCGTGATCCACGTGTTATCGTTAAAGCCTACACTACTTATATAAGACCGATCTTAGAATATTGCTCTCCGGTTTGGTCGCCAAATCGCACTAAAATGAACAATACAGTGGAAAGAGTACAAAGACGTTTTACCAAGAGAATTTCTAACCTAAATAATGTTTCATATTCAAGTAGACTTAGTATTGTTGGTTTGGAACTACTAGAAATTCGTCGCCTTAAGCAAGACATGATTACATGTTACAAAATTCTGAACAACTTAGTTTGCCTAAATAAATCAAGTTTCTTTTTATTTAACAACTATATTTACACTCAAGGACATAATTTTAAATTACGCAAACTAAAATGTAAACTCGATGTCCGTAAACACTCTTTCTCACACAGGGTTGTTAATATTTGGAATAACTTGCTGTCTGACGTCGTGAATGCCAAAAATATAAAGAGCTTCAAAATTAAAATTAACTCTATCGACTTTGAAAAATACTGTTCCGGCTAACTGGTTTTTGTTTTATAACTATGGTCTTATATATGATTGTAATATATATTTTAAATTAACTAGCATTTGTTTTATGTGATTGTAGGGCACGTTGTCAGAGTCCTTCATATTTTATGGACCTGCGTGTCCTTTAGAACATGTATCACTGTTCTAATAAATTTTAATCTAATCTAATCTAATCTAATAGTTGGTTTTGATATTTTAATCATATTAATGCGTTTTCAATGAAACTCCTAATTTCCGCATCATTGTTCTGAAATTTCTATACTAGGTCGCTAATTTCGTCGTTTTTTAGTATTTTTTAAAACATATTATGTTTATAAAACTTTATAAATTTGAAACAATTTCTTAACTGCTATATTATAGATATATCTGCAGGGCATCGATATGCATGACTTATTAACATTATAAAAGCAAATATTGTCTTTAAACAACAAAATACGCCGAAATTACCCTACTTTACCCTAAATTTATATTATTAGTTATTATCTAGCTATTGGAAATAACTTCATTTTAAAAATCTTTACCTCATTAGGTGAAATATAATGCGGGTTTTCATATATAGTTGAACCACAAAAACTTTTGTTAAATATCCGGATCAAGTTCAAGACAAAACGTGGACCTAAAATTGAAACTTTTAAGCTTACAAGTAAAAGAAAATGTTACAAGACGAAATTTCCACACGAATATTCATAAACGAATAATCAGCAGAAATAGAAAACAATTACCAAACTTAGTTATATTCATTATATCATTTGACAAGTACCTATCACGGACACCTACCAATTTCTGTTAGTGAGAAATCCTTTTGGCTAACAATCTAAAAATCAATATATATATATATACATATATATATATATATATATATATATATATATATATATATATATATATATATATATATATATATATATATATATATATATATATATATATATATATATATATGTGTGTGTGTGAGAAATCCTTTTGGCTAACAATCTAAAAATCAATATATATATATATATATATATATATATATATATATATATATATATATATATATATATATATATATATATATATATATATATATATATATATATATATATATATATATATATATATGTGTGTGTGTGTGTGTGTGTGTGTGCGTAATAACTTTTTATTCAGCAAAGTGATAAGGTTAAAAGTATAATTTCAACTAAATTATATCAGTTGACCATTCATAAAGTATTGTATAAAAAGATTTTACAAAATAATAAATAAAAAATAAAATACAGCATTTTAAAATAAACAATGTCCGTTTTAGTGCCAAATAAGTTTTCATCAACCCAATTTCACTCCAACCTCAATTTGTTATTAAATCAGTATTAAAGTAACATTTTTAAAATATAAATTTAGTAAGATTTTTGTATTATTTTTTCTTTATATGAATTTTTTATATTTTTTATTTTTGTTAGATTATTAACAAAAAATGAGAGTTGCAGAGGAAATTAGGTCGATTATTGTTAGACTATAGAAGGAGGGAAAATCACAGAGAAAAATTAGACAAATAGTAATGTATGTAATGTATGTATGTATGTATGTATGTATGTATGTATGTATGTATGTATGTATGTATGTATGTATGTATGTATGCATGAATGTATGTATGTATGTATGTATGCATGTATGTAAACATGTATGTATATATACATATATATATATACATGCATACATATACATGTATATGTGTATATATATATATAATATAAATATATAAATATATATATAAATATATATATATATATATATATATATATATATATATATATATATATACCCACTCTTAATTGGTCGTCTTAAAGTTTTTACCATAAAAAGTCAGTTATATGTTTTTTTTTAATTTTAAAGACCAGAAAAACTTTTTTTTTTTTATTATTTGACAGTCTGTCTGTCTGCCCAAACCAAACCCTCAGTCGATGTAGCAGCACTCTGTTACTAGTCAGGCTAATTTCAGCTTTAAAACTACAAAAAAGTGAAGAGCCATTTTTTAACACAAACACATTTTCTTAGCCATAAAGTACTGGGAAATATATATATATATATATATATATATATATATATATATATATATATATATATATATATATATATATATATATATATATATCCCTGTGCCGACTTTAATGGAACCATGTTCATACAACTTATGTGAAAGTAGTATATTGCAAAGAAAAAACAAAATGCAATTTTTACTATGCTGTGTGTATAGCATAGAAATCTGAATCCAAACTGTAAAAAAGAGACACTAAAAGGAAAATATCCTGTTAATTCTTTAATTTTATCTTCTTTTAAAAAATGATTTATATATTTATTTTATTTTGATTTGCTCCCAACAAGGCTGCAATCAACCACTACTAAGTTGGGAGTTACTAGAAATAAAAGAATGGAGTTATAGAGCAAGAAAATGTCTGACAGAAGACTTAAAAAGTTAAAGGTTGTATGAGTCAGGTAAACATGAAGATGGGAGAGAGTTCAGCTCCAAAGGGTTTAAGTTAGGGGAAAAAAACTAGATGAATAAAAGTTTTTAGAGCTTGCAGGGACAGATACAGTAAAAGAATGAGACTTAACTGAACGACAAATCAAGCGAGAATGAGTTTTAGTTGATGAAACTAGAGATAACAATATTTGTAGAAAAGAGAAAGAGATGCAACTTTATGACAATGGGAAAGAGGCTCAAGCTTAGCAGAAAAAGCATATTTAATTACGTTTATAATGCATTTTTGGACTTTGTCTAGAAGAGAAAGAGCATCACTAGAATAACCAGCCTAAATATGACAACAGTGTTTCATACAGGGACGAATAAGAGATTTGTAGAGGTAGAAAATGGAATCAGGAGTAAGAAAATGGCAAGCTTGATAAAGAGAGGCAACCTTAGCGGATGCTAATTTAGCAACGGATTGTATATATGATTTCCATGAAAGGTCAGTAGTAAACAATAAACTAAGAAGACATAAAAAAAAAGAGGGTTTATTAATATAGGAATGATGACAGTATTGCAATAATTGTTTGCAGTAAATAAATGAGTTTAGTTGTAGCTAAAATTAACAAGCCTTTGTAAGCCTCAATCTTTTACAAAAGTGAAACTAGACTCAAGATTGGCTGCCTGTTCTAAGTGATCGAAAAGAGAAGACTTTAATTCAAGACAGGAGTATATAGTTGATTAAAAGAGTTTTTATAGATTTGTAAATAAAAGTTTTCTTGAAGATAATTAATGTAGATTAGAAACAAAAGAAGACCAACAACAGAACCTTGAGGTACCCCAGAAGTTCCTGATAATGAAGAAGCGTGTTGGCCGTTGAGGATGACTTCAATAAAGTTGTTAGAAACAAATGATTTGATAAACTCAAAAACTTTTTCCAGATACACCATAAGAAACAAGCTTATAATGAAGACAAGAATGCCAAACTTTGTCAAAAGTCTTAGATATGTCAATCAATAGTCATGAACTATATGCCTCCATCTAATGCACAATAAAGTCTTTCAAACACAGCAGTTAGCCATAGTTTCAATCACAGCAAGTCAGCCGTAGAGCAAAAGGATCAAAAACTATATTGATTGCCTGAATGTAAGCTATTTGACTCCAGATAAGATGTGACAAATTTGTTGATCAAAGACTCAAAAAATAACAGAAAATAACAGCAAATAATAGAAAGAAGACTGATTGGACAATAATTGGAGGGGTCTGAATGTTCACTGATGTTTTTGAAAATAGGAACAACAGATGCCATTTTCCTGCAGGCATAATAATAAATAGTTTTGAGAGAATTGTAGAGAGCCCTTGGGTGAGATTCTAAGACCAGTCCCATGAATGAAAGATGGATGAGAATTAGGAACAAATAGAAAATTCATGGATCATGAATGAGAAATGGAATGTTAGACATACCCTTGTTAATGACGCAGATGAAGATTTTCTACAAGACTCTTAAGTCTAACTTCTGAGATACGAGATATAATGAACTGAGAATAATGGAGCTTAGCATCAGACAACATCTTTTAAATCGATTTCTCAATCAATAGTTAAGAAAAAATGGCAATAATAAATTACCATTTGCTCTAAATAATAAACAGCCAATTCGTTCTCAAGAGAGTTATTTTTTCAAAAAAGAAGAAAAATTTTACAATTAGATATATAATATTCATGAAAAAAATCCCTGTTAGCTTCCCAAGGGAGAAAAATGAGAAACTGAACACAAGCTATAATCAAAGACAAAACATAAATCAAAGAGTGAAGGTAAATGAATAAGGTTGTCAGATAAACGAATCACAAAGTTAACTGTACGAGTAAGTGATTGAGAAATACATAATTTATAAGCTTTAGTGCCAGCAGAATCAGTGACGTTTGAGCCAAGCCATTCAGTATGATGATGATTAAAGTCAATAAAAATAACAATATTGGCAGAGGGGTAAAGAAAGAGGGTAATTTTGATTAGAAATTAGATCTAAATGAGTGCAGTATTGGAAAGAAGGAGAATTATAAAGAACAAAGAGAGGTGATAGAGTAAAGAGGCGCTAAGCAGAAGCGCATAAAAATATGGTCAAAAGAAAAAATAAATAAGTGAATTGATGCATATGTATACCCCCAGCCATGCATGTGACTATTGGAGTCTTTGTGAATCAAAGGATAGTACCCATCAACACTGAGATCTAAAGAAGAAATAGCAACATTTAAATTAGTCTCACTGAGAGCAAGCAAACCTGGTGAGTTTTGCAAGAGGTAAAATTCAACTGATGGAAGGTTGCTTTGCAGACTACAAATATTTGTAAAAGATATATTAAAACAGTTAGGTAGTGGGGATGGTTTTTATGTTGAATATTTGGGTTACTTTTGGCATGATTTAAGTTTAAAGAGAACTTGACACATTCATAGATGCGCTTGACTCAATTGACATTCATAGATGCACTTGACATTCATAGATGCACTCATTGACATTTATAGATGCACTTGACATTCATAGATGCACTTGACTCAATCACAAATAAACATAAACAGACAAAACAAACACAAATAAACATAAACAGACAAAACACAAATTTACATAAAGTAACTTACGTGTGAATGAACACCACACCAGAGGTTCAAACAGAACACAAACACACATAAGGTAACTTACAGGTGAGTGAACACTACGCTAGAGATTTAGACAGAACATAAACATACATATAAAGTAGATTACAAGTGAGCTAAAACAGTAACTAAGACACCTCCAACTATATAAAAGACACAAGCGGAAAAAAAAAAATATATATATATATATATATATATATATATATATATATATATATATATATATACACATATATATATATACATATATATATATATATATATATATATATATATATATATATATATATATATATATACATATATATATATATATATATATATATATATATATATATATATATATATATATATATATAATACTTTAGGCATGACTGATTGTAAATAGTACTGAAGATATGAAGTAAACTCCTTTCAGCTTTTGCTTAGAAGGTGAATCCCACAAGGCAGCAGGGCATGGAACAGGTTGCACTGGGTTATATGTTACCAGTATCAGGGTGATCATGAAGACCATACACCTGACCTGACTATGTACACCTGACCTATGATAATATAAATGTTTTAACTAATTTAGTTGCACAACTGAAATGGTTAAAAAATTTTAAAATCTTCAGAGTTCAATCTGGTTAATGTTGACCTAGGAGCATAAAGTTTTGTATTTAATTGGGTTATTTAGAAAGAAATAGAGGGTATGCATTTTAATTTCCCAAAAATTTATTTTGACTTTTTTAATAGGAGACATGGGTGAAAAAATAAAAATAAATATTTTTTGTCTTTTTTTGTCAAAAACATGACTACTTCCATTAGTTTAATAGAACTTTAATGATTTTATCTATATTGATGACAATTTTTCTAATGATTTAGATTGTATGAACTGTTTTTGCCTCCCAAAACATGAATACTTTCCCTACTTTTATGTTAATTATGTAACTTTATTATTACAAATTGCATTATTTTGTATTACAATTTAATATAATTGAGCAAAAAAAAAAGAAAAAAAGTTTTTTATTTTTAATATTTGAACCTGAAAGTTTCTTATCCAAATTCTATGTTCCACAATTGTAAAGGTCATAACTCTGTCAATGAATGGCTTGCTTTTTGGATGACGATTTGGAGTGGCAAAGGCTTGCATAAACATTTCTTTTAGCAGTTTGTGTTGGACATGGTCATCAAATTTCTAAATGCAATTTTTTTAAGTGAAATTTAGTTTAAAACCTTGAAAAAAAACAAAACATTTTGTTGTTAAAAAAAGAAGGAACTAACAAAGGAGGTACCTTATCAAAAGAAAGAATAGGACGAGAACCTTTGAGAGAGTTTCCGGTTAATTTTAACTCATCCATTGTATGTACTAGATCCAAAATAGAATTTACTTAAAACTATTAATAATGTAATTATGAAACTTTATAAAAAAATTAATATTAATAATACCGTTTTCAACAAGAAATCGTGCTGAGGGACCATTTGGTGTATTTGATATCCTTAACACACATACAAAAAAAAAAAAAATTCAAAATATGAAAAAAAAAAAAAAAAAAAAAAGAAGAATATTTTAACTTCTCAAGCTTGAAAATAATTTTTTAACTTTATTGAATACAAATATAAAAAAAAAAAAATTATTACCACATGTATAAGTCTTTTTTTTTCTTCATTTCAAAAAATATGCATTTATTGCAATTCTTCATTTCACAAATCTGGAATCAAACAAACAACTTTTAAATTGCCATAATTTTAGAATGCTTTGGTGAATATGGCCAACTCGTTGTTGGCCATATTCACCAAAGCATTCTAAAATTATGGCAATTTAAAAAATTAATGACATTTTTGGGCAATTTTGTTTCTTTCAAAAAACCCTTATTTTTATCTCCATATAAATAAAAAACTAATTATCTTAAATACTTAAAAATCAATATGATGGCAGTAATCTACCTCGAACTTTCAAAAAAAATTTTTTAATTTTTTACAAAAATAATTACTTTTGGACATTTTGGACTTTAAAACTACAAAATAAAACACTTTAAAGAAAAATATTCAATATTAATAAAGTAAATAAAGGCAGAATACACAAGGAAATGTAAAAAGCAGTTATTTTGTGAATATATAGGTGGTATGCATCATTTCTGATAAGTTTTGTAATATTGAATTTAAAATTATAGAAATTAGATCCCTCTAAAAAAGTCTTCAGCCTTAATACCTTAAAAACAGATCCATTTAAGAACTGAAAATTGACCGGATGTACAGTAAATTTAACACTTTAATCTTTTAAGAATGCATCTTCAGTATAAGAAAAAATACAGAAAAAATAATTTTGGTATGTCTTGTGGCTGCTGGGATATCTGAACTTAAATCTTCTATCAAATATTATGCGGTAGTGGCAGAGCGCTTGCTTAGTTGCTTAGCGCTCCCTAAGGACTCAGAAGTTGCTTAGCTAGTTAGTGCTTCCTAAGGACTCGCTTAGCCAGTTAACACTCGCTTAGGACTAGGAAAAGAAGTTTTGAGTTCAACCCCTAACACATCACTGGTAGTACAGCACTTAACTTGTTTCTCCACACAGCTGCCTTGTTTATCAAGGTTTGTGTTTCAGAGTTATAGAGTTGCAAGAGAGTTATAACAACAATTAAGTAGCCTCTGTGGCTGAAGTGGCCTTCTTGAGCTTGGGGAGGTGAATTAACATTAAAAAAAAAAAAAAAAAGGATAATGGAATTTAAAATTAGCCATTTTAAATGCATATCATATTAGTTACATATCTCTAAAACAAATAAACATTTAAATGCAAAATTTTTTATTCTTTTTGAATAGAAGAATTCTAAAATTAATTTTTATGTTAATTATTTTTATGTGGCCAAGTATTATTTCATTTTATAATAATGTAATCTTTATTTAAAGCATAGTCTATAGAAATATACCCTGGTCTGGAAGCTATTGTTTTATTTTTTTTCGGTCACGTGATCAATGTAGTTGCAAAACAAATCAGCCGTCGAAGTGAATTTTAAAAGATATATCAAAGAAACTTTAATTATAATTTATTTAAACAGTCCTTTTTAGAACTACATATAACTAAAATATTTTAAGCAATTCCAGTTAGTGAACGTTAAAAGACATTTCAAGGAATTTTCACTTAAATTTTAATTAAACAGTCCTTTTTAGAACTACATTAGAACTAAAGTAATCGTACTTGTAAAAAAAAGCAATCACTGCTTAGCCAGGTAGAAATTGCTGTCTTCCACAGTGCACAGTCTCAGATACAAATAAACACAAGGATATTAGACTATTTCAAATATCTACAAGAAAAGATGAATATCATACCATTTGGAGGAAAAAGTTAATTGATTTTCTTGCTATTTACCGTCCATTAGATGGATTATTAAAAGAAAGAATAACCAAAGGAAATGTTTATTTTTGTGAGAAACACTTTTCTCCAGAAGATATAGAATTTACAAGTGAGTACATCATTTTCATGGCAAGTCATATTTTATATTATTTTACATGATTATTATATAATGGTATTGCATTGTAATTATAATGATCATTATAGTTAAAATATCTATCATTTTAGAAATGGAGTGCAAAGTCCTATGGCTTATCTTCTCGTTGGTGCACTTCGTTAAATAATTTAGACAAGTCTTATGTCTAATTTATAAATTAAATAGCCAAGGCAACTTTTGTATTAATTTTGGTATTAAATAGATCCATGAAACAATGTGCAACTATAAATATTTATATATATATATATATATATATATATATATATATATATATATATATATATATATATATATATATATATATATATATATATATATATATATATATATATAGTGATTTCGCCGGTTATCCGTTTCGAAAACCGGATAACAGTTTCCATCAATTTGCGGTTAACCGACTATTCGGTAAATTAGTGACGCCTTCTGAATAAAGGAACTTCTAAACTTTAACGAACGTAGCATTTCAAACTAATTTTTAAAAAACTAATGTTAAACTATACATTTTTAAGACAGTTAGTGAATACAGTCCTATATCATATATTTACAACAAAACATGGAAAAAGATATATATATATATATAAATTTTATATTAAAATATAATGTACTTTTTTAATTATATAATTAAAAAAGGTAGTAATAATGTACAAGTATAGTTTAATTATCTGCATTATCATTAATCATCGCTGCTGATTTGAATTTCATCATAATCATCATCTTCTTCATTATTATCAACCAAGTTTCCACGCAACCCTGAATTTTCATACAGAAAAACCAGCATTTCTGCATGTTCTGGCGTTAATTGATTTCTTTTCTTTGTGATAACATTTCCGGCGGTTGAAAATATTCGCTCACATGGACAGCTGGTTGCTGTGATGCAGAAAAGCTGTGCAGCCAAACAAGAAAGAAGGTTGAATCTAGAGCTATGCAACTTCCACCACGTTAGTGGATCTCCCGTGAGCGGTTCAGGATCTTCTGATAAGTAAATTTGCATTTCCTGTCTGAAAGTTGTTGGAACTGAGCTTGCATTTGTTACTGGCTTGTAAATACGCGAGAGTAAATCAACTTTTTTTTTGTTTGTATGAAAACTATCAAAGACTTTGCATTTCGAGGATGCAGAAGCCGTTGCAGCAGGGCCCATGACAAGTTGCTGCTGCAAGATGGCGTGTAGTTCTTCTGCATATGTTATCACACTTGTTTTTTCTTCGGTGGTCAGAAATGGGAGGGTTTTGAATCGAGGGTCCAAAAGGGCACCAACCATGCCTAAATAGCAAGGAAAATCATTGTTAATACCGCTAACCAAACCAAACCGTTGCTTTATTTCACTTTGCAGCTTTTCTTTCAGCTGTACAACAGCCCACGTGTCGTTCTCATCATCTGGCTGAAGAAAATTTAGCAATCCGAAAATTGCCGGATAAATCGCTGAGTACGAAAAATACCGCTGACCACTCCAGCGAGTAACCTGGTCAGCAAAAGGTTTCAAAACTTCCACCACTGTTTGTGCAATGCCCCAATGGTCAGCGTTGGGGACGGCACACTTTGATCTAGCCATGTCTTTCTTCACTTGAGGATCCTGTAGAAAAGATATTTATAAAAATCAATTATTTATAGATATAGTAAATTATAACAATTTATCTTACCTGCATTGCGGCAATGATGTTCTGTTGTAGCCTCACCATTCGTTCCGCCATATTGATTTTGCTGCTCCACCTGGTTTCACAGTCCATGATAGGGCAGATAGGCTTTGGAAGTCTAGATACTGTAGTATCGCGGTTTTTAGAATTTCTTTTGATTTCGTCTTTCTGAATTTGTTTGAGGACATTCCAGGATGAATTCGAATTTCTGAAGAACTGTGCCACTCTTCTGATGGCTGCCAGCGCATTTCTAACTGTCTGGATAGCATTGATGCTGTCATTAATGGCCAATTGACTTATATGCCTGACACACCGTACCATATGCCGTACACGTTTGCTTGAAGTTAATGCTAGCACAATGTTTGCGGCATTGTCAGACACCACTGCGAAAGTTTCCGGAATATGCCAGGCATCCATTGCAGCCTCCAAACTTGCCTGTAGGTTGACGCTCGTGTGACGCTCCTGGGAGTGAATTAAATTGATAACATAACTGACAAGGTTCCAATTCTTGTCAATTAAATGAATTGAAATAGCTATGAAGCTTTCATTAGAATTCGATGTCCAGCCATCTGTTGTGAGACAAGGATATATGTTTAGTTGTCCCATAATTGTCTGAATTTCTGCAAAAATGACAGCCTTTCTTGCCTCAAATTGCAAAGATATTCTTGAGACAATTGATGTGTATCCTATTGGTGGAGCTCCTGTAAATAAAATGTAAATACTGTAATAAAGTTAAGGAAGTAATGGAAGTTATCATATTAATATAGCCAGATATTTTATTTGCATTAATTTTCAAGTGTTAGTGACAATTCAAAATGTTTGCAATTTTTTTATCAAAATGTTTTAATATATATATATATATATATATATATATATATATAATTAATTAATAAAAAAAAATGTCTCTAACCTGGATACAAAAATTGTGCCACTGCACGGAATCCTCTTCCTAAGACAAAATTGATAGGACGTAGATCCATAACGCACATCATTGCCAACTTGTTGCAGTACTCCTCTTTTTTGGCACTATTCATAACAACAGTTGTTGTGTTAAAATACCTACTTATTAACGTATTACTAGCACTTGTTGAAGAACCTGCACCAGATCGATCTTCCAGCAACAACCTGATTAGAAGGATGACGCAATTTGAGGTGATTCTGCATTGCAGATGTACTTCTTCCTTTGCACGATATTTTCTCCCCACACACACTGCACACAGAAAAATTATTGTCAATTTTTTTAAAAAACTTCCACACAATACTCTTTTTAAGACTAGACATTATGCTCTAAACAAAACAAATAATTTTTCATATAGAAAAATTGATTCATGTAATTAAATTAAAAAAGTTAAGCTCATAACATAACATACTTATGTAACTATATAACCTTGTTACATAGTTACATAACTTAACTATAAGCCTTGCAATTTTTTTATCAAAATGTTTTAATATCAGCGGATGTTTCAAAAGCATTCTCTCATAAAAACATTTGATAGATATTATAAACTTTTTTAGCGAAAACTTATTGTTATGCGGACATAGATGGAAACATGGATAAACTTGAATTCTCAAAAGTTC